ACTGGGGCTTGAAAGCCATTGAAATCACTGAAGACTAGAGCCCTTGCCAGACATCAGCCTGTTTTTCATCAACATGGCTAATTTAAGAAAGGTGTTGTCAGACTGACTCATTCTTTCAAATTTCCTTCTCATGTCCAGATCATCAGTCTCGGCACCAGATATTTGTGGATAGAGACTGTAATGATCTGTGCAGGTACAGAATTGGAAGCAAGGCGGATAGAGAATTTCTTCCAAGTATGTTTCCATATAAAGAAATAAGTTTGTGTCTGTCTGCCACGTAGTTTAAAATCCTCTGTAGATCAAGGACAAGAAGAATTATTGGGTATTCCAAGACAGAAAATCCCAGGAATTAAGCCCAAGAGAAGGCAGAGGTCAGACTAGGTAAGCTCCAGACCCAGTGAAAGGAGGAAGGGAAGAGTGGTAGGAATGTAAGGAATTGGGGGGGAGGGAGATGAAGGCAGGAAGAAAGGAAGGGAGGAAGGAAATAAGGCAGGAAAACTCAAAACGTAATTCAAGAGAGGCTGCTAAAAAGAAGTAAGAAGGTAGTCCTTGTGAGCACAACGAAAGCAAAAGGGAAAAAAAAACATTAAAAAGAGCTTCCTGTCCTTGTGCAGGTAAGTTTCCCAGCGTGAACATAAATGCAGTAAATTATTAGAAGGAAAAGAATTGTGCATGCAACTAAGATATAAGGTGAAAACTCAAGGGATTCATTACCTAGACAATCACAGTGTGATGTGGAACAACAGTTAAGACTCACATCAACTGCATAAACATCAGGACTCTAGAGCCATGTGAGATGCCCTGTGGTATCCCACCAGGCCTCCAGGTGCCAATTAAGAAGGGCCTGTGTATCTAACTGGTCCTTAGTAATATCTGCCAATCTGTCAGGACCTTCCAGATTCCTGACAGTATCTTAAATAGTACTAGATGCCTATATTTAGGCAAGTGAACTGATCTATTAGATGTTACTTTTACATCTAGCACCTGTTGATCTCAAATGATTCAACCGTTTTAAATTCCAGTCTGCAGTCACCCTATGCCTCAGTTTCCCAATAGCAAAAAGGAGACAACTTTTATAAATATTATAAATATTTAGTTCCTCAAGTAACGTAACCCATTCAAGGCCTTAGAGGGGTCAGCTGCATGCATGTAAGTTAACAGCAGGGGAAAAATAGTCTAGAGTCAAATGTCTGTTAAGGTTATTGCTTGTTACTAGTGAAAAGTAATTCGGAATGTCAAAAATGTGTTCAAATATTTCATACTTCCTGTTAACTTTTTTTGGTTACCTGGTCTCTATTTCTCTCATCGTGTTTCACAAGTCTTCATAGTAGAGATTATCATATCATACTGCAATATTAAACAAGTGATACAATTTCAAAATATCTTAAATGATTAGAGCAACCTTAATCAGAACTAGTCCCTGGTGGACAGTCATTTGACTCAACTGCTTTTATTTCTGTGGACCCAGAACAGAGGCTTTGATGAAGTTCCAAAGTTGGAGAGAGCTACATGCAAGGTAGTGACCCCATATATTTTTCCATTTTCATGTATATTTCTACCATTCAACTTTTTTTTTTCTCAGCAGATGAAGTTATGTGTGACTACGATTCTGCATAAAGTCTAAAACTTGCACTACAGATATGCACAGGACCTATACGCCAAAAAAAAAATTCATTGGTTCACTAGGTTTCTTCAGTGTTTCTGTCTAGACTAGACTAGACTATATTCTAAAATTTATGACTGATTTAATTGTTCTCCATTATTTGGGAATTAGTTAACTGAAAAATATACTTTGTGAAATTTGCAGTATCATTTGTATCTTCAAATATAGATGTCATTGAATGAAACAGTCACTACCAATTTTTACATGAAGGATATAGCAACTCAGTACATGTCAAATTAAGAAAGCTAATAGTAATTGTGAATATATATATGTGTATATATATACACATATGAATACATAAATATATATTCTAGTGTGATTATAAGCATACATGAGCCAAGTCTTGGGACTGAACCTATCTGGGGCCTACTAAATATATTATACAAGTGTCGTTCCTGTAGTGTACTAACAGTATGTAGAAATTTCATTTGCAAAAATATGCACAAATACTCTGTAAATAAAGGAAGGTGTAGCTAATATTTTTAATGCTATCTTTCAACACATTTTTTGCATCCATATTACAAAGTTCATAGGAAGCAGGCTATTTCTTACTAGAAAGTCCACATATGTTAAGCAACATGAATAAATCTTCCTAAGTCTAAGCACACTTAAGTGCATACCTTTCCTAAATACCCAAGGGAGAATAAGCACAAGGAGTTATTTTTTGTGATCTAATGAATGATAACCATGAAATCCTTTTATCTGAAAAACATTTTAAAACTAGAATGCTAATTCAATTAGTTGATTTTGCTATTGAGAGCTGTCTGAATAGAGTATATTTGCTCTCAGATGTATGTTTTTCCATGGATATTAATTATATCATTGTGATATTCCCTCTCCAGTTCTGAACATCTAGTAAGACCTGTACTACTACATCATACTTAATAGGAGTGTGATGGTTGTTGCTTAGGCAACAGGATGAATAAATGCAGGTCAGAATGTGCTTCTAGAAAAACAAAAGCAGGAATATGGAACAGCATAAAGAACAAACACACTGAACTGATTTTTACTGCATTAAAAGGCAAGAATTGTTCTATAACTAACCTATTCTCAGCATTTGTTTAATTTAATGAATATGTAAAATATACTTTAATATGTAAGCAATTTTAATAAAGGTAAACCAGTTCTCATAAAGAGGTAACACTGAAGCACGTTTAAGTTTGGAGAAATCTGATTTTTTCTATTAACATACCAGTTCTTTCTTCTCTCATTTCCCTATACACTTTCCCTATATACTTTCTCTTTAATATTTTGGTTAAACATTTTGACAAATACTTTTACATTTTTCAGGAGAGGTTTGCATTGATTTAATGCTAATATATTTTCTAAACTAATTTATAAAGAAATTCCAGTAAAATACTGGAAAGATTCAATTTCTGATGCAAACAATAAACTGATATATATAACAACATGCTAAACTGTGTGAAATTCATAAAAGGATAATTATTAAATTGCTAAGACATTATTGTTTTATTGCTGAATAATTTTGCAGCTTTTTGCTTAATCATTGGGTTTAAGGGTCTAATCTTCCAGTCACATATGCATGTAACCAAAACTAACATTAAGAGTCTTTGGGTGTTTTACCTGTGATATATATTTAAGAAGGAAGTGCTTCAGAAAATCGAGACAAGCAGGGAACATTAGCTCTCACGCAAGCATGCAGGCATAACTTAATCTGCCTGATACCTGAAAAGTTTGATTTGACAGCAGAATCTTCTGCTGAATGTGTGTGTTTATGTAAGCAGAGCAATAAGAGATTTAGGAAATTAGGAGTCTTATGTAAACCCCAGCAGAATGTGGATCAGGCTCCTCTATAGCTAGGGGGTATTTGGAAAGCTTTCCAAGGCAGTTGCTCTAGCTCCTAGGGGCTCATCATTTACCTGAGGTAGGTACACCCCTCTGCATTTCTTATGCCACCTACAGCCTCTTGTGAACAATTTCCTTTGGTAATCTCTTTAAGACTAAATGAACAAGTCCTTATGTAACTAATGCTCCTTTATCTCTATGTATCTATATATACAGAGCTATATAAAAAATCATAGCTGCATTTTGGGAAACTGTGGCTTGAAATATTTCTTAGCTTGCTAGTCTGGCAGTACACACTTGCAGTTTTGTCTGTTTCTTTTTTCAAGAATATTTAAAGGAAAAGATTCTAATAATTTTTATTGATATAAATGAAAGCTCACATGACAAACATGTAAAAACTTCTAAGGTAGAAACGACATAAATTTGTCCCTGAATTTTCTGATCAGTAACCCATGGGCATATTTTGAAGTTGGCAAAATAAATGAAATAGGAAAACCAGGACTCAAATGATGGTTTTATAGTAATAATATTCAAAATAAGTTTCATTTTTGCTTCCTATATACCAGGAGTAAGTTAGGAAAAGTTAGAACTATTCCCAGATATACACAGTTACTAAAAATCTTAAATAAGGAGTATTAATACTTTAAGATCTGACAATTTGTAAAAAATGTGGTGAGGATTTTTTCAAGAGATACACTGAACACTGAAGCAGACAGAAGAGTGATTATATAACAGTCTTGCTTTTTACTGACAATATTCATTTCTATAAGAAGTTTGCATATCTCAAGTCTAAGCCACTTTATATCTCTCGGATATACTGTAAATTCTGAAGTACATAAAATTTTACTTCATTCACATATTCCTGACACATGTTTAGAGTTAAAGCAGGAAATTCAAGCTATTTAAAGGAATGTATTACTTTTCCAAACAGGGCGCGAGTTTCAACAAGTGAACCCCACAGCCTGATTTAAGATGCAAAAACATTTAACTGAGACCTCCAGAACCTCTTATAGAGATAGCATATTTTATTCAGTTACTATTTATCTGTAACTAAAATACCTCTCAATAGAAGGATGGCACTGCATGTTATTTAATTATTATTACAATAGTGTTAATGTCTAAATAAAAGTAAAAACGTGATTTATTGTAGATAGGGGGTTGTACGTCTTTTACATGTTTTAAAATTGCCTCCTGCTGAGCATGGATTAAAAGAATTACGCATTTTTTTCTTTTTCTTTTTCTTTTTTTTTTAACATGAAGATTGGGCAGGGGGAGAGAAAGAACATTTATATTCAGTTTTTCTTTTACCATATTCCTGGCTTGAATATTTTGTAACATGTATAATTTGGAAGTTTATCTTAGGACAGTTTATATATTAATTTAGCTAGACATACAAAAGTGAAACACTAACAGATCTTCTTAGTGCAATGCAGAAGAGCTTTAAGGTTTTTATGATCACAGCAGAGACAGACAAAAAAAAAAAAAGGCAGCTACAGTGTATATACACATCTATGCACATAAGATTTCTTACCATAAATTGTACATTGTCAAATCCATTAGCCAGCAAGTGGTTTTCATACTGAGGTAGCCCAATATTTTCCAGCCATTGTCCCACTGTCTGGACAGGGCATCGGGGTCCTGTAGGAGGGTGAAGAGGGAGGCGTTTAAGCAACGAGTAACCATCCACTGGATAATAGCGGTAGTCCTGGGCTGAGAGGTGGCATTGCCACATCGTGTTCCTGGGAAAGTTGGTATCAAACGAGCCCGCCAGCTTGACAGATTAATGTTTTCGGCAAGCAGAAAAGTCAGATGTAAAACATAGTTTACAGGGCAGTATACAGCAAAAGATCTGATCCTCGCTCTACATTTCTTAGTTGTTAATCTTTACTACAGACCCGTACGTCATACAGTAGGGAAGGAAAAAAAAAAGAAGAAGAAAAAAAAAAACCATATCAAGCTGTCAGCTAAGCTGTTCTCCGTTATATGTGATTGTTGGAATACTCCACAATGAGCAATGCACTGCCAGCAGCAAGAATTCTTTTTATCAAGTACTCCTACACTCATCAGTATGCAGCTCCATGCTCCTTGCTCCCCCTTGCTCGCTCCCCTTCATTACCCAGCCTAGGCTACACCTCGCATTTTCAATAATAGCCATCAGATAAGGCAGATTTTTTTTTTTGTCTGCAAGCTGTAAGCCTGCTGCTGCTGCTTCCTCCTACACACCCATCCAAGCGTCAATCTTGAATGATGAGAGCAGTCAAAACAAATGCAGAAAATAGCAAGATTCAAAAGCAACCTGGAGCACTGAAATCTGAATAGAATCTTCATACCCGTTACGCTTTACATATCTGTTTGTTGTAGATTTTTTACGTTTCACAAGACATTAGAAAATGCAAAACATAAGCCATAGCCTATGGCACAGTTTTCTGTGCATTCCCTTTTTGCTTTTTAATACGGCATTTGCAGCAGTCTGTATTTCTGCTTATGTAATAGTAAAATGCTTTAATGAATCAATAAGGAATACATTTTACAGTTTCGCTCCTGTAGTACTGCAAAAGACACAAACTGCACAACAATTTTAGTCAAATTTGATTATCATCTGCATGATTTCTTCAACTGTAAAATATTATAAGACACAGGAAAACCTTCATGCCAACATGTGAAATGATTCGACTCGAAAAGGTCACCATTTGAAATGAATAATTATTTTTACTAAAAAAAAAAAAGTTTATATCTTTTTGTTACAAAAATAGGAATGATAGTGGATATACTTATAGCATTGCCATGACTTGTAGAGAGGACATATATTTTCCTGCTACAATATTAAAAAAAAAAGAGAGAGAGAAGATGATAAATTTCACATTAAAAGTAAAATTTATTTCCTGCAAAAGTAATTAAATATCTCTAAATATATTTTCCATCAATATTGATTTTTTGAGACTGATTGTCCCAAGATGGAAACATCTGATACCTTTGAGCATCTAATCAAATATACCTCAGAGAGGAATGTTTGCTGAACTTCTTTTTCACAACAGGATCAAGGGTTACAGGACTTGGCAACAAAAATAGTAGATAATGGATATATTTAGAGTATAATTCTAAGATCTCCAGCAGAACTTCACTTATTAAATGCATTAATTACTTTATTTTTCTTATCCATTCTGGATTTCAAGCAATGGCCAGTTTCAAAGAGGAATTTAAATCTACTCATAAGAGAATTGTAGATATCTGTCAAAGGTATAATTTGGGATAAGTGATATTATGACAGCAAGCTGTTTTATAAAAAATACAAACCTACATTCAAATGATTACTTTATAGTAAGAGCTCTTTGCAAGGGAAATGCAGAAGCTTCCTAAGCGCTAGCAGTATGGACTTAAAATTGATCTAGATGTTTTAAATTAACTTTCCACTAAAAGTTGAAACCTATTCAGATAGCCTTTGGGCTAAAAATGGATGACCTTTTATTCTCTGATACTGCTGACTGCAAAAAGAATTCAAAAGAGTATTTTATTATTTTTGTCATTTTGTTTTATTTTCAGACAAGGATGAATGTACTCTGTTATCTGGAAAGTTTGGGAAGAACTGTATGTAGGTTGAACACTTGATTCAAACTGAAGTACATAATGATGTAGAATAATTTTAGGTGACCCATAGAAGCTATTATATGAGGTTGGAAAATTGCACATTGCCATGAGATTTCAGATTAATTCATTTCTTTTTACATAATAATAATAATAATACATAATAATAATAATAATAATAATAATAATAATACATAAAGTAAGAAAAGCCCGTTAGGCATCTAAGGAAAATACTGAAGGCTTATCAAAAGGGGTCAATCTGTAACTGCTGAATGAACTATCAGGAATGTTCTCAAGAATTTAATATGAACAGAGTGTGAATATATGCAACAAATAGTTTTTTTTCATAAGATTGCCATCTCAGACAGATGAACGGACAATTCATTTCTTTTCAGAGAAAGTAGATATTCTAAAATGATTGGAATCTTAGTCTCATAGGGATACAATTGAATTTGTTCTCACCTATCTGTAAATCTTTCCTACTTATCAAAGTTTATTTTATTTTTTTTTCCGTGAATCAATCTGTTTGTATACTGATGGAGCATAATCCTTTCAGGGTTGCATCCAGTCAATAGCTATGCTGCAAGAATTAAAATTGTGCTGATTCTTTTTTTAATTGATTGAGAAATGATGAATTCCTTTGGAAAAGATTCCTGAGTATGTCTTCTGTCTATCCCAATAAGGAGAAAAAAAATGAAACTGGAAAGAAATCTAATGAAAAATAACCCCACTCTTTGAAAGGATTATGTATGACTAAGCCCAATATTTCCCATTCATGCACACACAGTCATGTCTCTGTATCTGTTTGTCCCCCACAAAAATGTTTTGCCTGTAATAAGACACAACCAATAATGGATACACCAGGCTCATGGTCAAAATGCTTCTTCCTTACCTTACTATAAACAGCATAGAGGTTATGCTGCCAGTGAATATATGAGAAGTGTTTGGCTCAATGCCTAGCAACCACTTAAAATTCAAAATTAAACTTTTGAGTGGCTCCATGGACACACATCCTCATGTGGCTCTTGGTGCTATGTCTATCTGATCTCCATGGTCCCAGCACTGACGTTGATAGCACTGCTGGCCCTACAGTTTGTTACCCTCTAACTCTGTCTTCTTCCAGTAACAGTTACATGTGTGACCCCCACCAACACAACACAACATTGTTCACCAAGGGGAGAGAATATAAGGAGGAGCACAGCCATCTTGCAGTCCTGTTCTCATCCCTGGCTCTCTTCTCCTTGCTAGAATATCCTCTTAACTACAAGATCTCCTTGTTTTCCTCCTTTTGCCAAAGGTAGTCATGAGACAAAGGCAAAGGAAGGAGCTGAGCAGCAAAGCCAGGAATGCCAGCATTAGTGCCAAACGTGCTGTTACGGGAGCTTGCAGCCCACTTGATCTCCTTGTTCTGAGCCAGGAAAGGACACTGGTTATACCAGGAGGGCCACTCTGGTATTTTTTTTTTTTTTTTTTGAGCCAGAACAAGTGGGACTTGGAGCAACTGCCGTTGCTGAGAGACCAGAAGGGAGTCTCTTCATTTCACTGAAGATTGTGATTCAGTGCCAGCCCCATTGATGTACTGCTGGAGGCAGTGCCTACTTTGCCTATGTCTAAAGCTGGTGCTGGTAACAAAAAATGTAGTGCAGATTGTGAGAACTGGTCTCACCTCCAACACATTTACATTCCACTGTATGCTTTCCTGTGATTTTTAGAGAACATAAATCCTATGATAATCCTTCTGTGATACCACAATCAAAAAAAGATGTACCTATTCCTGCAAGGAAGAAGTGACGCATAACTCTCTTCAGCAACACAGGGAGAGAAATACTTGGTTCTTTCTTCTCCAAGGCAATAGAAGAAGCACATTCTAGTTATGTCTGCAAGAAAGATGCCATCTGGCATGCTATACAATAATTCCTACAAGATATCTTGTTTCAGTGAGACTCAGAATATCTTTATTGTGGTGTGTGGAATTGACTGCATGTGTGATATCAATGTGCACATGGCCTCAAATATCTTGTAAGGCAGATTTGACCTAGTCACAATAATTAATTTATGGTCCCCTCTATTCTATTAGTTCAGCTGTTATCCCTGTGTATTTTTTCTTCCTTGATGTCTGGAGTGAGGAAAAGAAAGAAATGCAATGATAATAATAATTTACTTGTAGAGAAGGTGCTTCCCAAGTCAACATGAACAGATTATTATAGAATTATATATAATCCATTTCCTTAGTTAGATCATTATCTGCTGAACATTGCTAAATACTTCTGGTATTACAGAATGAAAATTTAGCAGTGATTGACTGAGAGAATTCTGAGTGGAGGCTCTACCACAGTATGAAAGGATAAATCTTTCTGTTGACAGCCAGTTTAGCAGATCTGGTGAAGAAACTGATGCTAGAGTAAGTACTGTAAACTTAGTGTGTTGAATTAAAATCTTTCAGCCTCATTCGATAATAAGTTTGGATATATTATTCTTTTAGCATTTATGGGTTCAGTTGGAGAAGAAACCGATTTCTGGGCATTGAGAGGGAAGTTTTGCTGCAGTAGAGTTTGTGTAACTATGTTCTAAAAAATAAACTAATCTAATGACAAGTATTCCTGGACAAGCAATAAGAATAGCTAGGTACAGGATGTTATCTGAGAAAACCTATGCCTAACATCCAGACAGCAAATATAGTTCAAGAATTTTACTACGGGAGAAGTACAATCGTTTCCCAAAAGGAAAGCATACGAGCTTCTGCTTTATCTTACACGTTTCAATTATATTATTAGGCCTTTCGAATGCTTAGAATTTCAATGATCTTTTTCACAAAATTCTGAAAAATCCACATGCCTTATGTAAAATCCACAACTTCTGATAGCGGATCATGTTAGGTGAGGGAGAATATATTCCTGGAACTACTCTTACGAATGTTATTCATGGCACATACAGAAATAAAACAAAATCAATTGAAACAGACTGAATGTAAATAACATTAATATCTATAATCTAAAGGTTACATTTCATTGCTTACGTATGGCTCAGAATAGGCAAAAATAATTTCCAGAACACAG